ATTTGTGAAGTTGATGTGAAATAAATTGTAACAAATATTGTAATTTACCCAATTCAATCAATTATAAAATTCTGGATGAAACGAATAAACCAGATATAATAAATCCAGATGAAATGAATAAACCGGATTTATTGAATCTGGATGAAACAAAGGAACTGAATATAATAAATCCAGATGAAACGAAGAAACCAGATATAATAAATCCGGATGTAACGAATAAACCGGATTTATTAAATCTGGATAGAACGAAAGTATTCAGTTTTATTTGTATCTAATCCAGATTTAATAAATACTGTATATCTGATTCAAAACTCTAGTTTAATTCAAAGTTATCCAATGAATGCAGATTTTCCTAATATACAAGTAATTATTCAGGTTTGTAAATTTTTTTTTGCATTACATTCATTTATTTTTTTCAATTAAAATTATTTTAAAAAAAAATCAATAGAGTTGGTTTACGCATAAAGCAATATCTTATGATTATGTGTTTTTATTTGAGCTTGCTTTAACTATTCATAGTTTCTTTAAAGAAATTTATGATTTCCGAAAGGGAATCGAGAAATTTAAGTCATTGATTTTTTGTAGAAAAACTTAAATTTCTTATAGGAACTTTCATTTTTAATTTTTTTATATCAATGCAATTCAATCGTTCTGTGCCTAATTGCATTTTTTTGTAATTTATGGATTTTTATTGTATCATTTCGACCATATAAGATAGTTTCGATTTCTCATCATAATGGTATAAAAATTGGCTAGGAATCATAACAAGTTTTTGAAAACAATGAATTAATTGGTATGTGCTACCCTATATTCATATATTTTACTAAAGACTCTTTTGTTTATTATGTATTGAAATATAGAACAAATGGAGGAAAATACAAGTAAAATAGCTGATGGAAGAATGGAATGAAGCTATATACCAAGTAATGATACTTGAAGAAAGCGAAGACAGTTAGCTGATGATAATCATAATGATGGTAAGAATAATAATAGTTGTAGTGATAGTTATGGAAATAGTGATAAGAGCAATGTGATTCAGAAAACTTTCAAAAATTTGCCATAGTTACTCGTATTTGGGCGAAAACAACTACTTTAATAATCTAGAATTTAAGATTGATGAATATAGTTGTAAGACAGGAAAGATGCTTACCGCTATTTAAAAAGAATGGGTTAATTACTTTCTCGATTCTATTCAAGTTTGTGTTTCTCTGATTGCACGAATACCTAATGATAATATGGACAATTTGTTCATACCAATGGATACTGCATATTCACAGAAGTCAAATCGAAATATTGAACGTTCAGCAGGAAGTGAAATAACCATTAAAGGACAACTTGTTTTATTTGTAAGTCAAGCAAACGGTGATTAACAATGCTTATGGTTGTGGCATTACTGGAGATGCGTGGTCGTATCGATATACCGCTAGTAAACTTGACAAATATGAAAGACGTAGAATAAGTTTTACTCCTAGAAAACATTGTAATATGTGGTTTTTTTAATGAATACATGAGTGATTTTTGTATTATAATAACTCAAGTATTATGTTATAAGCCTGTCATTAGCCCTGCCAATAATTTTCACGACTTTACACGTCCCAAACTATTATTATACCCCAAGATTGCCTATCACCTTAATATTGAAGATTTTAATGTAAAATTCAGAAATCTTTATAGTAATAAGCAAAGTCTCAATATTAATAAGCCAGACCCAATTATTCAGTATTTTGTTGAAATCATCGAAATTAAAGGTTCGTTTATATAACATGTGTATTTTGGATTTTCTTTTTTAATATTAAAAAGTATTCGATTCATGTAAACTAAATTTTGATAAATATATATATCTGATATTAAATAAATAAGTAATTGAACAATTAGAAAATATTTGAAACCGTTAGGAATTGCAACACTAAATCAAATAAATCAAATATAAATATATAACATGATACTTATAAATTAAAAAATTCTGAATCCTCTAAATAAGGTTTAGAGCGAATAAAATACATATTTCAAAAAAATAAAATTTTAATTATTTAAAACATTACTTTATCGGAACAATATTAGGTGCTGTTCACAGCATTCAGCCTGTGAACAGAAATCCCTATAAATAATCAGTATAAGGAAAGTATACGGAAATAATACGTTTAAAAAACGTATAAAAAACGTAGAAAAA